GTTTAGAAAGAGGTCACAGCTACCTGGTTTGCATGTGCCACGAAGTTTAGTCAAATGATTTCCGTGTATTTAGTTATATGAATAGATGTGCGAAAAAAGAATGTTCATGGCGGGTAAATACTAGACATTTTACATGTTTTACAGTATTTGAAGAGGTACAAACTGGTTGATAAGGTGAATCAGTGTTTCTATAGCAAGACGAAAAATACGTTCCCTTTTTGAAGAAATGTCAATAAAGATTTACAAATGGTCGTTCTTAGATAACGAGTGGATAATGATAAGCTATTCTGTAGAGAATGAACAACTAAGATAAGTTTTCAATTTGAATAAGGTGAGAATACGAAGTTTCTTTTTTGAACGCAAGCGTTCAAAATTTTGTCTGCAGGTAAAATTTTCACGTACATTAATTATTTTTTTTGATGTGGGAAGGCTTCTACCACTAAAACATTTTATCTTGTAAGAGGCTTCGAAACAATTTCATCAAGGAGCTCCTTGATACGTAGGGTATTAATAACAAAAGAGTACTCTTTCTGTTCTGAACTGAACAGCGTTATTCATTTCAGTATATAGAACTGAATGACTACAGACATAGTTAAAACCATGACTATATAGGTATGTAAAACCATCAGTTTAATCTATGACTATAATGGATATATACGATTGGATAACCAGAGTAACTTTTAATATGGGTGAGCTGAGCACCATTATGATTATGTATTTAACTATGTGTTTGGCATCGGACATGATTGGTCATGCGTTGTTTGACAATTGCTATATGCGGAAAATAATCTGGGAGACAGATGATGGTTGGGAGCTCAGTATGCTGTTTCACACTTTATCGAGTGCTTAATCACTAGGTGTTCGTTTTTGAGCAACATTTTGAGCGCTGGCACATTACGCCGCCTTGAGTCCAAGTCAACTAGTGCTGTTAGGTAGAAATCTGGTTACATCGGGCTGAGGCAGATGGAGGTTCTTTGAGGAGTAATTACAGTACCATTATACCATACGACTGGATGAAGAATTCAGTCAAACATAATCATCGGTCATTTGAATAGAATAAAAGAGAAGGGTAGGAGACAGGTATCGCCTCGGAGTCGGGCACCCCACGGCTGAGAGAGATTCGGCTTATCGGCAACACTCTCTAGCTAGGAGGGGGAAGTTCCCCCGTTGGTAGTGCGCCCAGGGTAGAGATGGTAGTTCTTCCATCAATGTTAATATGTGAAAAAAATATTAGGGGCAGCATAGCAGATGCATTGCTGTCCACCCATATGAACCACCATTTGTGGCTCATTCCCTGTTTGCTGGGCTGGTCGGCGACTATGCACCGCCATCAGTGCCTTTAACCCGTATGATTTAGGGCGCTGCGTCTTACGGTACCACTGTACGTCAACCAATTCGCACTCGAGTGACGCGTAGCCGAACCGATACGAATCCCGAAGTAAAAACACAATTGATCCGCAATGTTCTACGGTACTGAATTAACGAAATTATTACAATGTGTACAATAAAGCAAACCTCAAATATGCGGCCAAAAGCACTCAAACAAGCGAGCCAAATAAGATGTCCAGAGAGAGGCAAACAGTCGCTCCCGTTCTCAAACCACGCAAAATTCAAATGTGCCGGGCATAGAGTTAACAGATAAATAATGATGTGTGGTGTTCATGATCGTGAAATGTCAATATAAGAGCAACACACAGATAGAGTTATTGCACCATAAATCATTATGGGTTCGGAAGGATTTTCAAAAAATTCAGTATGAAATACAACCACTTCTACGGGACGATGCCGCCTATCTTATTCATTTACGGGTGTTGGTTTCCTTCAGCTCATCCAGTAAATTTGGGTAGCTGGTTTGTGAAGATGTTTGTAAGGTTCAAGAATTAATAAAAATTAAATTAAAATTAAGATAAAATACTTCAAGACTAGGGAGATGAAAAACATATGAAAACTACGGTAGCGTGTAAGGCAACCTATTAGATCCTCTTTGAAGCCGTAATTCCAGATTTTGATCCTCTTACACTTGAGTAATTGAACCTTAGGTGTTGTCTGGCTGAACTCGGAACTTGCTATCCCTGGGTCGTTATGATTTTGGAGTTTACGAAAAAGAAAGATGATCTAGGAAAGCTAAAAGATATCTTGTAAATTATAAATAAGGTATAAAATATTTTATATCTTGAATAAATTGTGAGTTTTCCNATCAGAGGTTCAATAATGTACGGCAATGGGTTGGGACACTAGTCTGATGTCTTTGTGTCTGACATGTAATGTTGTTGATTGTGTAGGTCCACGTGATTTCAGGTAGTGTCAATGTCATTTGAGTGGATTATTCATGCATGGCTCCTTTATTGAGAGTTATTTCATCTTCTAGTGAGGCGATTGTTTTCTTTGCAGTGTATTGCGACACATTGAAGCCATCATCTATCCAGCCACTGAAAACATCTCGAACAGAAGGACAGAAATTAGGCACAGAATTCAGGATACGAACTACGAAATAGGAATCACGGAACACGAATTAGAATTCCTGTGGCACTAGACCGCAATGGCTCGAACTCGCAATACCCCGAGGGATCGAGACG